TGTCCCCCCAAGAATCCTCAGCCTCCAGCCCCACCAGTGACATTGGTAACAACTCCAGCAGCAACAATGGTAGTGTCTGAAAGTAGCTACAAAGGAGAAGGCTCCAGATGGGGATTGGAGGATAGTGAAGGGACATAGGAAGGAAAGGGCACCCTCACCTCCAAAACAAGATTTATCGACCCCAAAGAAACAACAGCAGCCCCAGGAGCTGCCCAAGGATGTACAGGAGCAGAGAAATCCCGAAAAACAGCCTCCAAGGCAGAAACTTGAAAGTTTTGTACCATCTCCATGAATGTAGGGATGTATTCCTGGATATTAGGGTTTTTGAAAACTTTCCCATTTCTGTGCAGGAAGGGTCCCCATATTACTCCACCCCTCTGTATATAGGGCAGTTAAATTAACCTACCCTATGGACATCAGTGGGATTGTCCCAGATGGTTGGATGATGATAGAGTTGGGTACTGGGAGTTCGGGACAATCCATCAGGATCCTGACACCTGCAGATTTCCGGCCAGTCTGCACTTAAGGGATTCTGGCTTAAATTATGTCAATAAAACTAGCCAGTCTGAATGTGAGGGGCCTGAGAGATCAGGGTAAGGCTACCTGCCTGCTTTGTGATCTCAGGTCCTTCGGGGTGGATGTAGCTGCGATCCAGGAAACACACTTTGTTAGCCACTTTGTTGTCTATTCAGCATATGGGGACCAACTAGCCAGAGATGTTTCCTTGTTAGTTAAATGTTCTCTGGATGCGAGGGTGGACCTTATTCATGTTGGTGTGGGGGGGTAGGTTGATCATGGCTGATATTGCGGTGAGCAGTGGTTCGTTTTGGGTTGTTGCGCTTTATGCGCCCAACGGCCAGAGTGAGTGTGTTGACTTTTTCCGTTAGTTGGGGCTGTTCCTGGTTGATTCGTTGTGCTTAGTCTTAATGGCAGACTGGAATGCCATCCTGGACCCCAAGAGAGATAGGGGGCAGGGAGCTAGCGGGAAGGCATCGGGTGATCGTAGCCTGGTTGATCTGATCAGTGACTTTGGGCTCGTCGATAGATACTGGGTCGATCATCCGAGGGAGATATAGTTGGCCGTCTCTCCAGGTAGCTGGCTACCTGGACAGAATGTTAGTGAGAACAGTCGATCTAGATTTACTAGATTATCCCACGTTCCACCATGTAGACTATTCAGATCATAGACTCGTCTGTGCCTGGATGGTATTAGGTACTAGGCCTAGAATGGCTGGGCACTGGAAGTCCAATCTGTCCTTACTGGACAGGCGGGACTTTCAGCAACAGCTAACTAGATTAGTGAAGCAGGAATTAGTGGGGTTGTTATTGGGAACAAGTGGTGGGAGAGGCTTAAGGATAGGATTAGGGTCCTTCACCACTGAATATAGCCAACGACTCGCTCTAGATGAGGCTAAAAAGGTGAAGACCCTAGAGGATAGTCTGTCCCAGGTGGTGGCTGGGGGGGATTCCCTAGCCCTGAAGCATGAGGCTAGCATGCACTATAAGGGTCAGGTAGTTAGACATAGGTTAAACAAGATGTCTAACGAAGCCATGAACATGGGCGCAGACTTGCGCAAGGAAGAGATCCGTTGAGGTTCCAATCGATACATTACCCCAGAGAGGCGCTCTCTGAGGTCGACCAAGGACATGTGCGAGGTGTTTCGACAGTATTTCAAGAGCCGCATTACTAAGGAGCCTGGTCTCAGTAGCGACAAGTTTCGCAGCTATTTGGCTGACTTTCCTTGGCTCTCACCAACTGAAGAAGTTAGCTGTGAGAGTGAGATCATGGAGGGCGAAGTCTACTTGGCATTGAAGAAGGTCGGCAAAGGCAAGTCTCCGGGACTTGATAGTCTGCCCTATGAAATGTACTTGAGGCTGTCGCACATCTTTGTCCTGATTTGACAGTGGTGTTCAACAACTGGTTCCAGCAGGGGTCCATCCCCAACCAGATTTCCAGGGGTGTGATCATGCTGTTGAAAAAGGACAAGGGTGTTGGGCAGGATTTAGATGATTAAAGGCCCATAACTCTGCTAAACACAGAGTTAAAGATTTTGACCAAGATCGTGACAGAGAGGTTGCAGTCAGTTGTCACGAGCTTGTTTGGACCTGTGTAGACCTGTGCGGTGAGGGGACAAACAAGTCAAAGCAACCCACATCTGATCCACACGATCATAGAGGGTGTAAAAGACAACAAACGAGCCGTATTGATAAATTTGGATCAGTCCAAGGCATTTGACAGGGTTGACCATCAGTATCTGGCTGCTGTCCTGCATGTCGCTGGATTCGAATCTGACTTCTGCAGGTGGATTAACCTCTTGTATTGCACCCCCATTGTTGTAGTACAGGTGAACAGAAGGTAGTCGAGTGCTTTTGTGCTGACTTGATCGGTCTGACAGGGGTGCTCATTGTCACCCTTACTTTATGCTTTGGTGTTGGAGCCCTTCCTTTGCTAGCTGAGGGACAGGGCATGCAGTTTTCACTAGTAGTGCTCGAGCTAGGGTTTCTACATACGCCGATGATGTATCCATCTTCGTGTCATGCCACAGTGACATTAAGGTGGTGCAGAAGGCACTTGAACAGTACGAGAATGTGATGGGGTTCAAGATTAACCGCAACAAGTCTTCCGGCTTGTGGTTTGGTGCCTGGAAGGGGGTCGCGCTTCCGGGGTCCTTTGGCTGGACTGATGGACCCATCCTTGGGGTGTGGTTCAGGTCTGGACTCCAGCTTAAGAAGAATTGGTCAGAAGTACAGGCAAAGGTTAGAGTGTTGGTCCAGACTTGGCTTCGAAGGGGGTTGTCTTTAAAGAGTAGGGCTGGGGCATGTGCCACTTACATCTTGCCCGTCATCCTTTACTGCTTGGCTGTACTTCCTCTTTACAGGAAACATATGAAGGCGATCGAGCGTTTGTTGATCACCCTCTTGTGGGGTGGTCGCAAGCATTGGGTCCGTAAAGAAGCCTGTTACCAGCGTCTGTGTCATGGGGATGCTGGGATTGCCACACCTGGTGAGTCATCGCCATGCCACTAGGTTGGCTTTCCTATGCCGAGTTTTGACAGAGGACTTGATTTTTGCACCAAGTTTTAGGGATACCTTCCCTAACATTACTATCACTCCCCCCATATCTTGGGGTAAGCGCCGTCGCTGTCATGGAAGGGTGTCGAGTTTCTTCAGTGAGTGTTGGGAGGCCTGGAGTGTTTTTTCTCGGTCCAGTGACCTTTCTCAGCGTTGCAGACTATTGTATCATGAAGGGTGTCATGAAAGATCATCTGTGTGACTGGCTTGGCTTGTCAACATCAGAGTTGCACTCCTTTTGGTCTTGGGTGCCAGCGATGGATTATCTCAGCAACCCTGAGTTTTCACTTAGCTGCCGATTGATTCAGAACATGCTACCTCCCAATGACGTACTCTTCAGATAGGGGCCAGGCAGATTTGCCAGATTGTCATTGGTGTGATCTTGGTTTAGAGGAAATGGCGTTGCATGCCTTCTATCATTGTCCTCAGGTGTGCCCTTTCTGGAATTATGTTGGCGAGTTGACAGCTTGTATCGCTCCCGATCAGCTCGTGTCCATTGATCTTGTGTATGCGTGTAAAAATGCGTTGCCTGGATGGTGTTTTTCATGTTGATAGCCGTGACTAGAATGGTTGTGTGGATGTCGTGAAAGGAGGAAATCTTGTGAAATGAATGTTACTTGTATCAGGATCTGATTGTTTTCTTTAAGCATCAGCTTAAGGTGAAAATCATATCTGATCGAAAGCGTTTGATTTCGACAGATTTCAGTGAAAGGTGGGTGACTGAGGCAAGCCTGGTTTGTGAAGATGGGGCTAACCTTGATTTTCTTTTTTAAGTCCCCTTACCGTAATGAGGTGGTTTCCTGTTGACCCCCCACCAGTTAAATTAGACACTATTTTGTGTTCCTAGTTAATGTGAATAAGGCTTTTTCTTCTCTTATGATTCATGTCGAGATCAGTTTGTTTTTGTCCCCTTTTTTTTCATCTCGGCCAAGTCAGCCTTTGATTTCCCCATTCCGTCATTATTTTTCCCTCCCCATTGCATTAGTGAGTGTGCTTCTTGATTCTATCTATCGATAGAATACAGCAGTCACTCTTATTATTTTGAGGGGTGGATGGTTCCTACTAACATTGCTTTGAGTTTGTTTTATCTTTGGTTGACATTTTTGAGTTTCTTGTCTGGGTTCATCTCCCCTCCCCAACATTTCATGTTTCATGGGATTTTTAATTATATATATATAAACATTACAAATTTTTACACCATGGCGTGTTTTGTAGGACCCTTGTGAATATGTGGTATTGTGGTATGTGCAGGATTGTGAAGTGATGGATGAGTTTTTGTGGTGAATGTGTAATTGTAATGAATGAATGGGTCATGATTGTGGTTAACTAGGAATAGGATAGCTAGTAAAAGACCAACCTTTCCCCACTTCTCCTTTGGACTTGTGCCAAAATTTTGTAATTTTTACAGAATAAATATAACGACACAAGAAGGCAGCCATGTTAGCAGGTAAGTCACTTGACTTCTACAGTGCTTCATATCTATTTCTCTCAGTCTGTTCATATTTAATGATTTATGGAGGGGGAAAATATTTGTTTCATAAAATAAATGCCTTTTTCATCATAGTGATATCCATTTCCTTCCATATCAATCCGTATCTGCTTATCTACCTACCTCAGACTGCTCATGCCTGTCTTTCTATCTCAATCTATTCCATGTCCATCTGTTTATGTGTCTCAGTCTGCCCCTATCTATATATATATATATATATCTCAGTCTGTTCATGACCGTCCATCTGTCTCTGCTCATGCTTGTCATATATATCTCAGTCTGATAATGTTTTCCTGTCTGTCAATCTATCTAATGATTTAAATAACTGTTATTCTTATCCTGGAATGTGATATTAAAGTATTTCACAATCTTTAAAAATAAGATATTGATAGTAAAGTACCTGAGATTAATGAGTTCTAATTACTACTTATCAACTTACCATTTGTCAGGTATGTACCATTAGATCTGATGACTAATTGTTCTGCCTTGTGTTTTGATTCAGGGTACCCTGGAAATAAAAATTTGGAGGGAGTGGTTGTTGTTTCTTCAGTTCCATTGACAATGTCATCAAAACCGATTACAACATCCACTGTACTACAGAATATCAATCGTTGGACATTTTCTTCAATGCAAGTTGTAACAACATTCTTTGTTCCTACAATGAAAAAAAAATTTAATTTAGACCAGAGATTAATTTTGGGGGAAGATTTTCTAACAATGATGTTTTTTCAACTATCAGAAAAATCTTGTATATAGCACATTCTGAAATACTTTGCCTTTTTCTATCAATATCTTTCATTAATCTTCTATGTTCATAAAAATTTTCTAGTTTTGAAGAACTTATGACAGGCAAAAAAGTGATTAATTCAAGTAAACAGCTGTTTAAACTGAGATAGAAAAAATTCAAGGAAAATTATTAAAGTCATAAGTGTCCAATTAAAATAACATTTTAAACAATTTTGTATTTAGATGAAAACTAAATTTAAATAATGATAGCTGTTAAAATTATTTAAATATTATAGGAAAAAAGAACCAATTTCTTTTTAAAAAATTGTGGTGTACAATTCAAACAATGATAGATTTTAAACTTTAAAACAATAGAAAAATTCAAAGGAAATGTTAAATTTACTTGATTTAAATGAGTTTGAGCAAAAAATTTGTTAACCCAAACTTCAATAAAATAATTTGTGTATCAGAACTCCATCAAGAAATAAATAATTATGAATAATGTTTTAATAATAAACAACATTTTATATAACAATTAAAGTGAGAATACAACAAATGTGTATGTAATGTAGAAAGTGTGTATTGTTTTATGTAGGGTTTATATATAATGTAAAGTTTCTTAGGGATGCATCAATTAATGTTCTTTTATTGAGCAGTATGTGTTATATGCATTGGGCTGCAAGTGCGTGACCTCTGAAACAGATGGTTTGAAATTGCTATCATGACTGCTTTTAAGACCGCCATCCAGACAGCATGTAGTCTGTTTTTATTCTAGAACTTCCTGTGCATGGGAAAAGGCTGTGTGTAGGCAGTCTGCATGGATGTTTGCTTGTTTCTATAGGCTGATGCTGTTTGGGAGGTATGATTTTTGTTAAATTAGAGATAATGTCCCTACAAGTTTAATGAATATTTGAAAAAAGAAATAAATATTAGTGACCCCTAGGAATAGTTGCAAATTATAAAAAAAACAGCTAAACAAACATTAGTATTATCAGCAATTAGTATTTCTTAGTATGCTATTCTTACCATTCCTTAAAGCTTAAGAAAATCAGCATCTTCTAAGTAATCCAAGAAATAGGACAGAAACTATGATCTGGAATTAGAATGAAGGCAATGATGGCACATAGATGGAATCCATCATAAAAATTCAGGATGTAGAATTAGTAACTGCTTTTATGGGGGTGCAAACTCCATTGCACTGCTCTGATTGGCTAGCCAATAATAATGCTTGACCAATGGTATTAGCTAGCCAATAAGTCTTGTGCCATATGCCTCAGAGGGGAGGAAGGAAACCTCCAAGAATCCAATATGATTGGCAGTCCGATCAAAATAATGGCCCTGTGTCGTAAGTATTAGAGGGGGAGAAAAGGTCCATACCAGCCCTTCTCTCATTGGTGGGCCAATCAAAATTGTAGCTTTCTATTCGCTCTCTATCCAACTTTAGTGGGACATTTTCCATATTCCAGAATGTCAACTCTCATTTTACTTGATTATCACAGGTGTTATCATTCTCACTTTCATTTGAAAGTCTGTCATATCCTTGATCAAAACAAACCTGACCTGTAAAGATTTAATTTGTGCCACTCATTTCAATGAATAATTCCTTAATAAAGGAATTATAATGAAAACAATATGAAAAATTAATGAAAACAATATGAAAAATTAAACAGACCTAAGATCTAAGACTGTACCTAATGAGCAATTCCATCCAAGCTTCCAATTTCACCTTCCACACTATACTCTATAAGTGACATAAACCAGAAAATTCATGGAATCATATTGTTTTAACATGAAAAATATTTTTATTTCTTTAGAAATAAAAATTAGATCAACTGTCAACCTTTAATGATTTACAGAAAAATCTAAATTCACTAGCCATGAATTGTGTGCCATTATCTGTAATGATAGTGTCGGGTATACCAAATCTTGCAAAAATCTTGTGTAAAAAATTTATAGTTACCAGGGAAGTCAGTTTTCTACATTTTAATATTCCTGGCTATTTAGTGTAAGTACCTAGTACCATTAGATAATATGCTCCATTTAACAGTCCTGTGAAGTCTGTGTGTATTCTGGAATATCGGTTTTGGGCCAAAGCTGAAATTTTATAGATGGTAAGCACAATCGCTGCATGATTTTATTAAATTTTCAATGTCTTGGTCCATTCTCAGCCAATACGTATAACACCTCATTAAGGATTTTATCCTTGAAATTCTTGGATGTCCTATGTGAAAATTTTTTAGCATCTGTTTTTGCAACAATTCTGGCATTACAGTTCTTTTTGCATACATAATTACAATATCATATAATGAAAATGAGCTACTTCCAGTAACATTTCCTTTTTATTTTTTTCTTTAAAGCTTACTTGCTTCTTCATTTTCATGATAAAGTCATCTTTTTCCAATTTAATTCTTATTTCCTCTAATGTTACGGGCAGTTTTCTTGATATATTGTATAATACATTCATTTCATTTTTGGACTTTATCAATACAATTATGGTGTCCTCTAGTGGTTTGCAGAATTTTGGTATCAACCCAGATAGTCCATCCGCATGACTCAATTTTTTGGGTGGTAGAAAAACCATTTTATAATTATAGTTTAATAAGATAGTTCCTCAGTGCTGCAATCTATTTGCTGTATGTGTGGGAACACCCTTTCTTGATCAATATATGGACAATAATGGACAAAGCTCATATTTGTGTAGTTTCATAGTTCCAATACCAGACCCACTTGTATTTGCTGCAACCACAATCTCTAATTTAGGGTCAAAATGAGCTAGTGACAAGTCTGACATTCGGACTTTTGATCTTTTCAAAAGCCTTTGACATTTATCTAACCAATCGCATCTAATTTCTTTCTTTAGTAGGTTATTCAAGGGTGCCCTTAATTCATGAATATTTGGTATGTATACATGATAGTAATTGGCAAACCCTGAAAATACTTGTAACTTTGTTACACTTCTTGGAGGAGGTATGTCCCTTATTTTGCTCAAACTTGAAGGATATGGTCATCTACATTTGCATCAATAATTTGTCATAGATATTTAACTCTGACAGTTCATATTTTTCTTCACTGATATTAAAACTGTAATCTTTATTTCTCTCAAATACTTTTTTACATCTTCCATATGCTGATTTCAGGTCTTTCTTTTTATATGTACATCATCTTAATATGCTTGTGCATCCAAACTGGCAAGCATCATATCCATAATCTGTTGGAATAATCTTGATGCTAACTTTATACCAAAAGGAAGGAAGTTAAATTTGTATAGTCCTTTATGAGTGTTAACTGTTAATAGTTTTGAGCACTCTTTGTCTACTTATACTAGCAGGTAAGCGTCTGAAACATTCAACTTAGAATAAAATTTAATTTGGCAAAAATTTCCTCTGGACTTGGTAATGAGTAGTTCAAACTTTTATTTAATCCCATTGAAAAATCAGCACATACGTAGATTTTATTATTGTTTTTTTTTTTTACATAAACTGTTGATGATGCTCATTCAGAATAGTCTACTTTTGCTATAACTCCTAATTTTTCCAGTCTGTCTAATTCCTTATTAAAAGGTTCTAATGCTGCAAAAGGTACACTATTTTTTGGTTTAAATACTGGTGTTACATTCCCCTTTAATTCAAATTTAGCTTTTTTTTTTCATGCATGTACCTAGACCTTCTGCAAAGACTTCTAAAAAACACTTTTTTAATTCTTTCTTTCATTTTTCAGTTGCTGTATTAGCACTCAAGGTAACAGTATTTATTTTGTGGCAGAATGAATTAATTGGGAGGTCCCATAGATCAAATAATGCAATCAAATCTGTTCCAAATAAATATGTATTCTTTAATACAAACACAATCACTTTTTTAGTTTTACCAATAAAAGAAATGTTGCAGGTGAATTCACCCATAAAGTTCAATTTCTTCCCTGTAACTCCATGAGCAAAATTTCCAGAAGTTAACTTGAGTTTACCCATTTTACTCCATGTCTGTTCATTGATAATGATGATATCATACCCTGTATCCAGTTGTAGTTTTACTTTTACATTATTAATTTTGACAAAAACAAATTTCCTCTTTTGAGATGTTTCTAGCTCAGTTAACAAGATGTTTGCCAAATTTTTGTTGTTAGTTATTCCTTTATGTTTTTTGACTTTACACAGTGTATTTACCATGTTTACTTATGTTCTATTTATTTTTCCATTTTTTTTATTTTCAATGAATACTTTTGTGTCTATCCACATTCATAGCATTTTTTGTTCTTGAAAAACAATTACTTTTGAAATGTTTACCTCCACAAACATGGCAAGTATTAGATATTGAAAAAGGTCTATAATCTTATTTTAAGTGGTTGAATGTTATGTATGTGTGAAATGTCTCTTTCCCCAATCCCTGCAGTATCAAGTTTAAGATTACCAATGTACTGACACTTTTCAACTATTTTCTGCAGAGTTAACTTGGGACCCATAATCTAGCAAGTATCCTGGATCTTATTTTTGCATCCTTATTAGCAGTTAAACCCTGTACAAATATTAGATATTTGAATAAATCCAGTGTTAATTCATTCAATTTAAATTTCTCACATTCCTGGTTAACTACTCCAGCTTAAGTGACAAAATCGTCATTATCACCCTTTGCTAAGACATTGCCAACATGTATTGAATAATGAGCTCCTATCACTGAAAATTTTTGATAGTACTAATATAGTTTCATTAAAATTTATCTCACCTGGTTTTTTTAATAAAATAAAATTCATGTACTTTTCATGTTGCACAGTAGACAGTTTTCTTAATGATATGCAAACATTTTTTACATCATCCCAGTGCAAGAAATCCTTTTAAAAAATTTCTTTGTATCTTCTATAATAAGCTGGAAATGTTATTCTTTCATCTGGATTGTATAAAAATTTGCTAATTGAATTGGCAACAGCATCTGGAGTGAATAAATCTGATGTTCTTTCCTCCATAATTTTATTTAATAATAATTCCAGAACTTTATGTTGTTGCTGTAATTGCTGTTCCAACATTAGAATTATGACAGATTTTAATTCATCCATTTTTCTGTAGTCTGTTAAATTAATTTTTGAATATCCTCACCTAGTCATTTATCTGTAATCCTATGAATATTTTGTAGTTCCATGTGTCGTCACTTTCATGAAGTGGTTAAATATTCACTGAATATCCTTTTAAGATGTATTTTTCCTTCATGAGTTCAGTGCAAATCCTTGTTTGCCACTTTGTAATCCGTCACATGCCCATAATACAAATAATAACAGAAAGACTTCAATGTAAAATAAGAAAGTATTTAATTACCAAATGCAATTAAAATACATTAGCAACAAAGAAATAAAGAGTCAACAGAAAAATTATTGATTACTTATCAGTTAATAAGTGACTACATAGAGCTGCTAAAAAATGTACTAATTCATAACATCCAGGTTAACAAAATAGTCACACCTGTAATTGTAACCACCAGTCAGTGGTATGATATCTCTATTTATAGTAAATGGTAGTCTACATTTTCATTGTCTAAAAAATTTTCATGTTCAAACTCCAGTATCAATAGTGACACTTTCCTTTCATATATGACACTAATGCAATATCTTTCTCTAATATTCCCTGAAAGGGGAGTATTATGAGTCAAAAACATGGTCAATTGAAGTGTCAAAACATTTTTTCCTGTTCTAAGTTTTAATTTCATCCCTTAGAAGTGTTTTCTCTTTACTATTCAAACAAAAGAGATTTACATAAGCAGAAGCAAAAAGTTACTGAATAACAAAGAAAGAAAATACTGTAATACCTGAAATATTTATTCTGTTCATTTCATCAAATTGTGGGAATGTACTAAAGCTAACAAGTCCTGCAATATGGATGACAGCATCTGCACCCCTCAGAGCATTCTTCATTTCATAAGGGTCACATATATCACCAATGATTTCTCTAACTGGTTTCACATCATCATGATCTGTTTCAGAAAAAATGAAAATAAAATTCAAATTTTTAATTTGAGCAATATTTTTACAAAGCTAAAGCAAAATATCTATATCTATATATATAACCTATCTATATCTAACAAAAATAATAATAACTTTCAATATCCTTATCTGTATATCTATTTATACTTGTCTAGAGAAGTAACAACGTTTAATACTTATTAAAGGTCAATGAAGAGTTTCATAAATTTTAAACACTCATTGGGACACTTGCCAAAAATTAATTTATTGATCAAAGAAAAAATTCCCTCCAGAAGAAATGACCACAGCTCAAAATGATGAACCAAACACTCAACCTGGATTAGGAAGCATTCAAGGAAACCAGCCAGATCTGCCTCAAAGAATGTTAGATTTTCTCATGATGTGATCAGGCTGGTGCACACCAAGCAGAACCTTCGTCATGCCAAGTCCATTGTGCATAATATTCTCAACTCTCTCATGGGATATGCTAACAGCATTAGCTATTTGATTTATAGTCAATTGCCTGCCCTCCATCACCATGTGGTGAACACAATCAATGTTTTCTTTAGTGGTGACAGGATGTTCATACCTTGGTTATCTTCAGGACTCTACCATAAACACCTAAATTCATTTGCCCACTCTTGCACTTTTGATAAAGCTGGAGTATCATCTAATATAGCAACCATGTCAGCATAAATGTCCTTGGGAGCTAGCCCCTTTTTCTGCAGGTGCTTGATAATACTGTGATGCCAAATTTTGTCCATTTTCAAAAGAATTTGCTACTAGTTACTTTTAAAGTCTTCTTTGAATAGTCAGATGTTAGTTTATCTGGAAAGAAACAATGCAGTTATTAAGAAGAGTTGAAATTAATGCATTCAAGATTTCACAGCTCTAGCATCACTCCTTCATAGTCAGCCTATGAACTTTTAAGCCCACTCTATAAATTTAGTGTGAAACTATGGAAATTGAAGAGAGGACCAAGGTAGCACACAAATTGCAATATGACAGACTCATGAATGACTTGAATGTGAAGAAGAAATATATGAACAATGTTAAAGACAGATACAATGGACAAAATAAGTGGAAACTCAAAATGGGTCACATTAAGAGAAGCTTTAGTAAAATCAGTAATTGAGATTATCCCAAAGAAAACAAGGCAAAGAAAAAAGAAATGAATGACAGGTGAAATTCCCAACATAATGAAAATGAGTAAAAAACAATGCCAAGACATGAAACAGAATATAGGACAATGTACAAAGAAATTAGGAACCAAGGTTTTTTTTTTTTTAAGCGTTTCACCCCAAGCAAGGCGAGAAGCCACTAGGACACAAGGTGTTACAGAAGATCAGATAGGAGTGATAGAAGAAAGGATGAGGAGAAGGGTAGTGGATAGATCAAGACAACTGGAGATGTCGATTGACATTACATTTGAATAGCTGGAGATTATAGCTCTCAGGGAAACTGGAATAGGGAAGGGAGTTCCACAGGTGAGAGGTGCGAGACATGAAGCTATTGGAGTAGAAGAGACGGCTACATTTAGGAGTTTCGACAGTGAAAGGGTGAGAGTGGGATGCCAGCTTCATAGGGCACTTGAACTCATGAAGTCTGGGCACCAGTGAATGCAGCTCCTCGGAGCAATTGCCATGAAAGTTTTGTAAAACAGACAGAGAGAGGTGATGGCGAGAAAAGTGAGAAAGTGACTGTAGACAAGATGCCAGAGCAGGGCCAATTATATTGCATATCCACCTCTGGAGCCTATCAAGAACCCCAAGGCAAACAGAAGGGGCTCCAGACCATATATGGCAGCAATACTCCATGCAAGGGCAAATTGTTGATTTGTAGATCTGGAGGATCGATTCTGGGGAGAAAAATTTCCTGGTGTGGCACAGGGAGCCAACTTTCCTTGCGGTGGATGAAGCATTTTTCCTCAGATTATTTTGTATCTCAAATTACTTCTTGTTTTAATTCTTCAACATTTTTTTATAATTGTGATATAGGATCAAAGATGCCTAATCAATAGAAATAACCAGTAAAAATTACAGACATTCTGTAATTATAGACAAGGAAAACCTTGTCCACCCAATAAATAGAGAGATACATGCTCAAAATATTGAGTGTTTGTGGTCTTGGCTAAAATCTAAAATCTAGAATTAGAATAATATTTGGTTCAGAGGAAGAGATGCTCTCAAGGTATTTTAGTGAATTTATTTGGTGAGAGCAAATGAAACAATAGCACAGAAAATGCATTTACTCATTTTTATGTATTTATTCAAATTTCCTAGTTCATAGACATTTTTATAAATTTATGAATAAAAAAAATTATTTTCATATTTATTTTTTTATAAAATGGTAATTAATAAATCTTTATAAAATGGCAAATAAATATTTTATCAAAATCAGTTCACATATTTTTATAACTTTGTAAATTTTTATAAATTTATTAATGAAAAAATTATTTTCATATCTATTTTGGTTCTTATATTTTTCTAATTTGTTAGATATAAAATTATTCTTGTAAATAAACAACCTAATAAATAAATAATGTTTCATATTTTTGTTATCACTTCTCAGGAACAAAGAAAATGTATAAATCCACTTTCATGTTTTGGTTTTATTAAAATTCTAAAAATAGCTTTTTAAAATAAACATTCCTAAGGGAGCATACAGTAATAATTCTATCAATAGATTTTGCATCCTTTTCATCACCATTTTTGCAGGTAAAAACTTATGTAATATTTTACAAAATAAAAGGTAAAACTTTATGCAATATTTTATATTAATGATTATATAATTCCTTATTCTGTTTTATTTTGCATTATATAAATTCCTTCCCCATAGTGAAATGCATAAAAGTATGAAAAATGCATTTATTTAACACTTAAAAAAATAAATCAAAGTAACTCTGGAAAAATAAACTTTTATAAGTATACACATAATTTTTTCACTTTGTCATTCAATTGCCAAATACTTTTATAAAAATTGTCTTGTTTCTAATATAATGATTACATTGGTATACTTGAACCCATTAATGCCTACTCTCAATCTAGTATTAATTATAAAAATTAAAATACAGTATTAATTAAAGGATTATAAAAAATAATTGTGAATTATATAAAAATTTATTTTAAAAAATGACCTATTAATCATAGGTTTCTACTTCTTGTGCATTAATGTGAACTGTCCTATTTTTTGAGATGGCGGGCATTAATATGTTAATTTTGGTTTCAATTATCCATGGTCACCCACCAGAAATAAACAATTTATAAATTTTACTTAATAATAATTGTAAAGGTCAAGAAAACAGAAAACAGAAATACTGACAATTCAGATATGCTATAGAAATTGCAAAATGTTGTGCTGGCAGTATGACTATTAACATATAACCTTGTATATGTGATATATGACAGCCATTAAAAGAAGAGAGTAGCCAGCCAGCAAACTGTGAGAAGAATTTGAGATAAAATGAAACAGCAAGTAGAAGTCAGGCTGTGATTCATCAGCAGGCATTTTTATAGCCTTTCAGAAGATCTAAGTGCTTTGATATATATATATATATATATATATATATAATGCAATTTAAATCAAAAGTTCACAAAATAGGAATAGTATTCATACACAAAAAATATACAGTCACATGAACATAACCTTCTGACTTCATGGCACAAGACAGGTGGTAATACTGAGAATTTTCTATTTTTTTATTGGTTAAAAATAAATCCCAGCATGCATCTCTAGTATTTGTCTATAAATTTAGGGAGGAAAGGTTTTTTTTATCAGTCATTCCTAATTTACTGGCTTTTTCTATTTCTGATTTTTTGCTTTCTTTTATCACCGTACAGATTCATAGGTTCAATTCTTGTGTTTCAGTTTTTCTGACATTTTAACTGCCTTTTGTTGTGAAAACAATGTGCAAACTGAGTATTTACAGGAAATTCTTTCCCACAAGACCACTAAAACTTACACTGACATCTTTGTGTGTCTTACTTTGTCACAGGAAGACATTTGCAGGGTGGTTAAAGCCCTTTTCAAGATCCTTGAAAAAAGGGGAAATGAAAATAAACAACCCCTAAAATAGCAGCAATGCAAAGTATATTATGAAGGAAACAAAATCTCCCACCAGAACAGGAAAGACAACAGAAATTAAGTAGGAAACAATATTTGAACCATCCACCCTGCATCATCACTGTAGATGAGTTGATGAAGCAAGCAAAGGAATATATGCACATCTGGCAAAACCAGTTGATCTAATAGCTGACAAGCAACAGTTAAAATCTGTAGAGAAAAGGATTGTCTTACTATTTGTTGTGAATAAAAATGTCATTATAAAGTCATCAAGAGAATATATTATAAAGGTTTTAGTGGATCTAAAATATAATGAGAGATTACTCAATGTGGGATGTTTTACTACCATTGCTAGAAGAATGTGATACTCTCATGAAAAAGGACTTACAAAATAAAGAATGTATTTTTAAGGTATCAAGGAAAAGATGAACAAGAGTGACATGAGTTTATAAAATCCCAGGTTTATCTTGGGCCATCTTCCAGCTGCTATATGGAAAAATTGTTGAAATTAGCCCAGATATAAAGATGGGTGAAAAGAGATTCAACCTGATGATAAATAAAAAAATATTCAATGATATGCCCAAATGGTTGGACATGCATGGACAAAAACTACTTGAAACTGGCCTAATAGCAATGTAGGGAAAAGGGTTACTTATCCACAGTTTAGGAAAGGAAAAAAAAAAAATAAATAAAACCCATCCAGCACCATCCTGTATCTCTCTTTCTTTCACCTTCTTAATAATTTGCCTTCTCTCCTTCCAATTGCCAACCCTGAACTACCACCAATAAATAAAAGATAAAGGAGCTGAAATGGAAGTAGTTAGAAGAGGAGCTTCCTCATAAAAAATCATTTGAACAAAAATTAAACAAACTGGAATCAATGACTTGGTTTGGTTTGGCCAGAGAAAAGTCATACAAAAAAATAAAAAAATAAATTGGGTAAAAGAAA